ACCTGGCAAAATGTTCTGTCTTCGTCCTGGCCAGTTGGTCAAACACATAAGGAACATCAGTCCTTTCAATCTCGCTGGTTGATATATTTTATTATTGGTTTTGGCCATGAGGGATAAAACGTTTTTTTGAAATATATCGTCATGATGAAGTGCAACGATACAGGGTTAAAATTACAAACAAATATCCTAAATCTAAAAATAAGACAGAAAGGAAAATTCATATTGAAACCCGTTCTAAGAAGTCGCCAACAATCCTAGATGTGTGAGACCTTGCATTGTCATGCATTTAAAAAACGGTAAAATTAGTGGCATATAAGGAAAAGTTTCTTCTGATAACACATCTTCAATGTATCTTGAAGATGTTATGGACCCCTCGATTAAGATCAAATTTGTGCGACCTTCGATAGAAATATCTGCCCAAGCCATTACACCACCAGTTCCATGCTTCTTCGGAGCGAAAACGTTAAGGGTGATTTTATGTTTTATTTACCTCTCATCCTTTAAAATGGACTAAATATTGTAAGATAATCCAAGAGATTGTTATAAAAATTAAGAGTGGCCACTTTTTTTTTGCCTCTCAGGTAGTTTATTCGAACAAAATTCCAGATTGTTTCTTACTGTTTACCATGACACGTCGTTCCCATCAGATTCTTCTTCCTTCGGTATATACGAGCAAGAGCACGACGAGAAGAACCAAATTGAGAGTTACAGAGGCGAAGAAATTCATATAATAAAGAAAATACATAAGCATTTGACCTCAGTTTTTTTCCTTTTATCTTACTATACGCAGAAAATGTCTACAACGTACTATTGAATCACAAGTTAAACATTGCAATAAACGTCCTCGCAAGAATTTTCCAAACATCGAATTTAACCATGAATGTCTATTTAATTATCGTTTAAAATGTGTTGTTTTATTGGGTTGTCCGGAAAATAATGCAGGATTTTGGTATTAAACAAAAAAAAAGAAACTAGTTACTTTAAAGCAATGTTCTTTAATCAAAATATTTCCCATACTCTCAATACATTTCTCCCAACGTGTTGGTAACTTATTAATTCCGTCTGAGTAGAATTCAGAATTTTTAGAATTGATAAAGTCAATAAATGCATTTTCCAGTTCCGTTTGATTTTTGAATATTATGTGTTGTAAGTAGTGGTCCAGGTGTCTAAAAAATGGTAGTCAGTAGGCGAGAGGTCCGGAGAGTAGGGTGGGTGAGGCAAAGTTTCATAGCCAAGCTCCAATAATTTTTGTGACGTTACACGTGACACATGTGGTCGAGCGTTGTCATGCAACAAAATGGGCCCTTTCCGATTGACCAAAGAGGGCTTCATTACTGCCAATTTCTGATGCATGGTATTAATTTGGTTACAGTATGATTCAGCATTGATGGTTTCGCCAGGATTTAAGAAGCTGTAGTGTATTAAACCAAATGAAGCCCACCATACCGTAACCATTACCTTTTTTTGATGAGTTGGGGGCTTTGGAAAATGTATTGGAGCTTCTCCTTTGTCGAGCCACTGTCCAGAACGTCTAGTGTTATCGTAGAGAATCCACTTTTCGTCACATGTAACAATTCTGGCCAGAAATGGGTCATTTTTGTTTCGACAAAGAAGTGATGCACAAACATCAAAGCGCTGATTTTTTTGGCGATCGTTTAATGAGTGTGGAACCCAATTTTCGAGTTTTTTCACTTTTCCAATCGCCTTGAGGTGGTCAGCGACGGTCGTTTTACTGACTTTGAGTTGCTCTGCAAGTTCTCGAACAGTTGTTTTGGGGTTTTCTTCCACCACTGATCGCAGAACATCATCATTAAGAGAGGAAGGCCTTCCACGACCTTCTTCATCTTCAAGGCTGAAATCTCCCTCCCGAAATTTTTTAAACCACCTTTGCACAGTGCACTCATTAACACAACCCTCGCCCCAGACTTGGTTAATGTTTCTAGCCGTTTGGGCTCCGCTTCGGCCGAGTTTAAACTCGTAAAAGAAAATCGTACGAAATTCTCGCTTTGACATTATAAGGATGACTGAATTATTTCCAAGTAGCGAAATGCTACAGAGGTAAACAAACAATATCATTTGGAAGAGGATTAATAAGTGTTGACATTCATACAAATGAGTAATCCTGTAAACGTAAACAGAATATTTTATATAGATTTTTTTTAATGAAAACTTAAAATCCTGCATTATTTTCCGGACAACCCGATATAATCGTATGATTTCAATATTTATTATTCATTCAATATTATCAACTATTTGGAAGAAAATTAAATCTTGAAAAATTACCGGCACACACAAACTGAAATTTTAACAAATTTAGAAGTGAAGTCGCGATTCATGTGTTGATAAGTAGGACGTCCTTATTACAGTATTTTGATAGAAAAAAAGATGAAAATACTAATCATGTCAAGTCTTCCTGAACAATTGGAACAACATAGATATAACCGAATTAATCCATTTGAAACAGGATGCATATCATCCTAGAAATTCTCAAGAGATAATTATTTTTAAAAATTGTTATATCAAATGAAAATATTAAGAAATCGCCATTTTCTAGGTTTTTAACGAACAGACCTTTTTAGTTTGTTCTAAAGTTACTTTTCTTTTTATTGATTTTTCTATCTGTAAAGCAATTACAACTGTTAAAATGCTTTAAGAACAAAACAATTTACATAAACATCTGAGGAGAAATAAATGATGACTTCATTTTTTCAATTTTCTTCGTCATTACGTTGGTCATCCCGTAGCCATCGGCATTTTAGTCGACAGGGAGGATTATCTGGGATGGCAGTGAAACTGAGCTGACGGACATTGGAATGCGTGGAAAGAGATCGAAGGATTTTTTAAAATAAGTTTTTGCTTGTTCTGAATAAATGGAATATTAGTTTTGGTTTAGGCTGTGGTTTGATACATAAAAAGGAGAGTTAAGATTTTTTATAGGACTTTTGATTGGGATCTTTGGATGCGTTGAGAGTCGGATTGTTTGGTTGACCCGTACAGTTCGACACCATAGGTTGAAGTACCATGGTTTATTCAATTTTTTGTGTTTAAGTGGAAGGTTGGATGATCGAGTAGTGGTGATAACAGTTTGTAATGTCTGTTTAGTTCGTTTGTGTGCGGATTCCAAGTAAGTCGTTTTTTCAGGTAATTCCAAAGAAACGTTCCTGTTCTACAGGGAGTAGTGAAATCCCGTTAAAGTAAACAATTGATAGAGCAATACGTCTATGTATTTAGTTAATAGCTCTTCGTTTCATTTATAATTCTCCACTTTTTGAACCAAACGTCGAGGCACTGCAAATAATTTGGAACATTTCGATAGGATTGTCAGCAGTATATATGGTACAAACGAGAGGTCCGAGAATGCTACCATGTGGGACACGAGCTTAGGTAGGATAGGGGATATCGCTTGAGGCTTGAGCAATGACAAAAGAACACACCCGGACAACACTGCTTCTGATCAAAGCAGGATAAAATGAGCCTAGCCCCGAACTTACACCACAGCAATCATGACAGGTAGTAGAAACTTATGAATATGCTATAAATACTCTTCTGATAAGCTTTTTGTTTAATATTGTCATTTGTGGACTAGTGAAATCTTGAAACCTAGTGACTAGGTGCGATTTTTACAGATACTTCAGGACGGCAGAGTCTTTACTGGTGATTGTTCTATGCACTCTGAACTCTACTGCCAATAGCTTTAAAGAAAATTATACGAAATGTTCAAAGAAAACGCCTACACATGCAGCACACTCCCACAACCTTATGAAAGACTTTATCGGTTGATCGGTTCCCGTGTTAGACCATTATGCAGGGTGTGCAGTTCATGAACAAATTAAACTACTCACGAAAAAGAACTGTATTGCTCTGCCTTTCTTTTTTGTGAACTATAGTTCTTTTTCATTTTATTTTCTATCCTGTATTAATATCTTTTTCATAAAAATTATGTGAAACAAGTTAAAACTCGGAGAGTTAAATATCTCTTTTTGTCTTCTTTAAAAATATGAACGAACTAGTTCGTTCGAATTGGTTCAATAAAGGAATGGTCCTGAAAGGAACTATTCCCCACGAGGAACGGCTTTGTCGGTTAACTGTTCCAGTGTAGGATCATTAGACAAGATAAGCAGTTCATGAACGAACTGAACTATTCCCGAAAGAGAACTGTATCGAACTATCTTTGTTTTTAGTGAACTATAGTTGTTTTTCAGTTTTTTCAATTCTATCCTGTATTGATATAACATTTTCAAAATATTATATGAAACACGTTAAATCTATTAAAGTTAAATCAGTTTTTTTAAGCATAAACAACCCTTTTTTTAACTAGTAAAACTTTTTGTTTAAAATCCTATATTAATATCTTTTTCAAAAAAATTATCTGAAACAAGTAAAAACTCTGAAAATTAAAAATCTTTTTTGTCATTTAGAAAATTTGAACGAACTAATTCGTTCGAACTGATTCAATAAAATGAACGGTCCTGAACGAAACCACTCCCCAAAAGAAACGGCTTTGTCGTTTGAACTGTGGGACCACTGGAGGTGTGCAGTTCATGAACGAACTGAACTATTCCCGAAAGAGAACTGTATTGAACTTTCTTTTTAGTGAATTACAGTTCTTTTTCATTTTTTCTATTCTATACAAATTAAAACTTTCAAAGTTAACCAATTTTTTTTCTTTAAAAGGCATAAACGACCTAGTTCTTTCGAACTATGTAGTTAAAATTGACGGTCATGAAAGGAAGAAAAAGAACTGTACTGGCCTGCCTTTCTTTTTAGTGAACAATACTTCTTTTTCAGTTTTTTTTCTTTTATATCCTAAAAAATAAGTGAAACATGTTAAAACCCTTTATAGTAAAAACTACTCCCCAAAAGGAACGGCTTTGCTGGTTGCCTCCTCCTACAAGGAATACAGCAAATGTACTATGATGTACAAACATTTTATTATTAAATTTCCATAAAATTTAATTTATTAACGTTCGGTTTTAAATTTAAACTTACACCGTGTGTTTTGTGTCGAAAGATCTGGTGTCGGATGAACTTTTTAATTTCTTCTAAATAATTTTGAATTTCAACTTGTTTTAACCGTTAATACACATTCGACAAAATTCTTTCGACTGATAGTCATTGGAGGAACTTAGGAAAGTCCAGTGCCTTCTGATTTACCATCGAAAAGATGGTTGACACACAGGGAGGTAACTTTATTGTTATAAAAGCCATAGGTTACATGTCAGCTTATAAATTGAAAGCCGATTATCTTCGGTTCGGTTAATGTTGTTCATTCGTGTATAATTTTCAACTAGCATAGATCGCGACTATGATAGCGTGATAAAAGGGAGAAAAACATGCAAAGTGTGCACAGGCCGGCTTTTACGATGGGACGCTACGTGATACCGTTGCAGTTGCTGTTGGGCTTCGTGATCAGGATGGGCCTGATATCGTCGCAGTACCGCGAAGTGATCGCAGACCGGGTCGAAATCTCGACGTTGCTCAACTCCTGGAAAAGGGTGACCGAAGGGGTTTCACTCTACAGATTCGGGATAAGCCCTTACTCCGGGGATATTTTCCACGAGAACCCAATCGCCTTGTATTTCTGCGATTTCATGATTAACAGCATTCCTGGATGTATCGGGGTCGTATTCGTCTTGACGGACCTGATGACCGCACTGGTGCTGTATCTAACAGCTAAGGATTACATGGAGGAGACTGAGAGAAAGCAGGAGATGGAGATGAAGACATATGCGGAAGGGACCGAAGACTTACTTCTCTCGGATAAAGACTTTAAAATGTCTCCGGTCTATGTTCTCGCAGCTTATCTATTCAACCCGTATTCGGTATTGAACTGTGTAGGCTTCACGACAACCACCTTTGGTAATTTTTGCCTGGCACTGACTTTCTACTGCATGATCAAGCGGCTTCGCCTACCTTGCTGCTTTTTCCTCGCCTTGACTGTCCTGCAGTTATTCTACCCGGTCGTACTGCTTGTACCAATTTGTATATACATTGATGGTAAAAAAGGAAAATTTTCTTCTGTTTTGACAGTTGTGACCTTTTTGTCTGTGCTGTCGCTGCTTTTGTTTGTATCATATAAGATATCTGGGGATTGGGCTTTCATGCATTCCGTCTACATAGTTATGCTGACGGTCTCAGATTTGAGGCCCAACATCGGCCTCTTCTGGTACTTTTTTACAGAAATGTTTGAACATTTCCGTCTTCTGTTTATATATTCATTCCAGCTGAACGCAACACTTCTATATTTAGCGCCGCTAAGCTTCAGGTTTCATTCCAATCCAATGCTCCTTGCGACCAGCCTCACCGCTCTCATCACTGTGTTCAAATCGTACCCATGCCTCGGGGACGTCGGGTTCTACATGTCGCTCCTTCCAATGTGGAAACACCTTTTCAACAGCAAGCTCGTTGTACCGGATTTGCAGCAGATGTTTGTCATTCTGTGCTCGCTCATCATCACTTCAATCCTAGGCCCTACCGTCTGGCACTTGTGGATTTATTCTAGGTCGGCCAATGCCAACTTCTACTTCGGTGTCACCCTGGCGTTCGCCACTGCACAGATATTCTTGATAACGGACATACTGTTCGCGTACATCAAGAGGGACTTTATACTCAGGAATAAAAATGTTAGTGATGTCCACAAGGATAAATTAAAACTCTCTTTAGAATAAAATGACTGAACATAATTACCTCATTGGGGAATCATGAGGTGGAAATCAAATTTGTGATATTTTCTAGACTCGTACCCATTAATTACTCACTTTCTAGAAACTGTTTTCTTTTTTCCTAGTTTAAACTTTAAGCGTAAATTGTTTTGCATTGAAAAATGTTTTACCACATCTGTCGTTTTGTGTTTTCACTCCATTGTCTTGTTACAAGACTGTTATTTCACTAATTGTACCAAGAGTACAACAATTTGTAAATATTAATCATTTTTAAATACAACTTAAAACTTTTCTACAATATGATATTTAAGAAAATTTTCGCCTTATGTTTTGTAAATAAAGCTAATAAAATATTTAAAAATTCCAGCCTTTTTATTATTTTTAATTTAATTTCTGGAATATAATTTATTTTCATTGCTTGCTTTTAAGAATTACAATCGTTTTAATTTGGAAATTGTAATGAACGATTTAAACAAAAACTTTTTTTTTATGTGGTTACAAAACAAATATAATAAATAAAAATGACTCAAATTTGTCAAAATAAAATTATATAACAATTTAAAAAAAAGTATTCATAAAGGAATAAAAAGCTCTTAATTTTTCACATATCCAGAGCACTGTCAATAGCTGGCCCTAAGAGTATCTTTCTTGAGAAGAAGGGTCATCTGCACCAGATTAATTAAATGGCATGCAATGTCGATGTCGACTTACAGACAATTATTTTTGGGCTAAAGCCTGCTATGTGTCTGGCATGTAGAGAAAGGTTGCTTGATGTGTTGATGTATAACATGATAATTCTGTTCCTAGCATGCATTGAAAGTGAATGTATTTATTAGCGAGAATGTATGCCAATAGTGCAATATTGAGAACCCCATTGGCACAAAATTAGAATAGTTATATATAGACAAGAAGGGTGATGGAGGAATATTAAGAACACCCTGAGTGAATGGTATATAAATAAGAAAGAATGTATTTATTAAGAGTGAGCGAGAGTGTGAATGGGTTTGATTTTAGGAACTGATCTTGTTGGTGACAGAAATGAGCTAGCCGTTGGTAGCCTTTGGAACTAAACCTAGATGTCTGGACAGATATTACTGAGTTGTGACCCTGGACTACTAACACCTGGTGTGGAGATTCTTGAGGCATGCCGATAACTTGTAAATTTAAAAGAATCTGGAATTGCCAGTGGACTGAGAAGTAATAGGCTCAATTCTATCCACACATGTATGCACGTATGTGCAGATTTGAGCTTATATGAATCAGTAATCAGTTTTTTAATCTTTGGAAGAAAAAAAGGATTAACACATTAGGAAGGAAAAGGTTCATAGCCCGAGAGCATAAATAAAATCACATTACCTAAGAAGACTTTATTTTCTTGTTACTTTCTATGTAACAGTTAAACATACTTTTGTTCTTGTAATAATAAATAGACTTTAATATATACAAAGGCAACACATTAGGATGGCATGGGAAAAACTCATTGCAATTAAACCTTGTAGAATTGATGTACTTAAAATGACACTGATGTGCAAAAAAATTAGAATACAGCTTAGGCATAAAAGTTATGGAATTATTTATAACAAATTGTGTACAGTGTCTTGTTTTATTTTAAAGTTGATTCCTGTAACAATTGATTAAACACAAATAGACCAGTGTATCTGGTATATTCAAATCACATTTTGCTTTGATTAAATAGATTAACAATTTAATTTTTTCTTTTTAATTAAAACGACTTTTTCTTTCAAATTGGTATATTATAAAAAGTTGAAATTTTTTTGAAAGACAAATCAATCTTTAAAAGATCATTAGAATGATATTCTTTTCATAAAAGAACTAATAGAAATAACATATGAATATAAATATATATTTTTATATATAGCTTTACACATTTATAACAAAAGCTTTGTTTTATAACAACCGAAGCATAAACCTTTAGAAATAATTTTTTTTTTTAATTTCTAGCCCTATTTACCTAAACTCTATGCGAATGATAATAGAGTGCTAAGGAAAATGTTAACAATTAATTTTTCCGAATGAAAATCATAAATAACAAGTTTTAAAATGCAAATGCAAGCGTTGTTAAATGAACTGTTTTACACTTATTTGTTCATAAATAATATATATAAATTGCTTAGTTTTTTTTCTGCAAGTACTGATTATTATCAGTTGTATAAGACTAAATAAATGCTTAAGGGAAAAAACTTTGTGTTGCAAGTTGCCACGTGTATGAATGTGTGAACTGGTTTTAAACAATTTGCCATTAAATGTCGATCCCGAATAAACTAAACGATAAAAAATTGATATCAACTGCGTCGAGCATCAAGGCTGAACGGTCGCCATTCTGAATTTTGGAAGACAGAGGCCGAACTTAGTCTCGATACCCTCGAGAATCGGGATGGCAGCCTGGTAGCCACCGATGTGATCGGGGTTGGTCGGCTTCTCGCTGTCGATCACACCGGCAGTCGGCACTGTGTGGTCAGATCCGCTAGGCCGCCTGGAATTCCCAATTTTGTTTATTTTTAATAAATACCAGCATAGAGAGAGCATGCACAACCCCACAAGTACTTTACTTCATAGTTTGTCTCAATATTTCACCTAATTTAGACCATATTTATGTATATTAAACCAGGTATGAGAATAGGGTAACCCTCATATGGATACCTGCTCATAAGGGGCACTATGGCAATGAGGAGGCGGACAGCCTGGCCAAGGAAGGATCAAATACTGAGTTCGTCGGACCACAACTGGTATTACCCCACTCTTTAAGCACAGCAAAAGAGAGTATAGGTAGCTGGGGCATGAAACAATTCCTTAAGGAATGGAATATGTCCCCCGGATGCAGGCAATCGAAGGAGTTTCTGAAGGAAATCAAACCTAAAGAAACGAAATGGCTACTCTCTAACTCTAGGAGGGGAATAAGGAGGCTGATAGGTATCCTAACGGGCCATTGCCCCTTGAGAAGACACCTCTTCATAATGGGTACTCTACCAGACCCCTTCTGCCGCTTCTGCGAAACAAAAGAAGAAACGGCTCGACACTACCTCGCAGAATGCGATAGGTATGCTAGGGAAAGATTTAATACTTTCGAAGGAGAGGACATAACCAAAACACTCCCCAGGATAAAATGGTCCACAATCCTGGGGTTTGTGAATAGGTCCAAAAGGTTTAAGCAGGACTCGTGAGCCGACCAGGTCCCGGACCTTTTAGGGATGGGGTACGGGCCTACTCAGGCTTTTAACCCCTCGGGTCCTGGTCGCCCGCCCTGTGTAATATATATATGTATATTAATACTTTTTACCACACATAAAATTACCTTACATCTTAACTAAATAGTACAACGTCCGACTAACTGTTTAAATGTCATAGACTTTACAGTACATTTTTCGTATTACTTTTAATTAAAAAGCCAGAACTGTTAGCATGGTATAAGGTTCTTATAAAACTGTATTAAATGCATGCAATAACATAGTAATTGATTACTGCACTTGAGATTTTAGAACTTAATGAACTTATAATCAGTAAATAAACTAATTTAACAAAAAAAAATATTAGTAAAAACTTACGTTCCGCCAAAGTCCACATAGAAGGCCCTCTGTAAGAGCTCATAGGTCACCAGGGTCACTCCGAACTGCGGCGATGACCTTAAGACACGGGCTGGAACAGATTTTCTTGTAAAAAAATACAGAAAATAATACAAATTAACACACAAGAATTTTTTAAAATATATAAATTAATTTTTGTCACTTCCAACGTTTAACTGTCGTCATTTTCCCCAATGTCTCCAACCTTTTTAAGCGATCACAATCGAGAGGAACAACTAAAATTAAGTTACAATAAATGAAACTTATTACCTGCAGTTCCTTTCCAAAATGCTCTACCGCCCTCCTCAGCGTAAATTCTGCGAGCTTGGAAACATGAGATTTACATCTAGGTTATAGTTAACAAGAAGGAGAAGAATAATAAAAAGGAAAACGATGGTGATTCAGTCAATTTACAGGTACTGAATTAATAGAGTAATAATCAACGCTAAGGTTGTGACATTGTTCTGTCCTCCTTTCCATATTGAAGCATGTCATTAAATCAACAAATTTAGAAATAATTTGGATAATTAAAAAATAATTGTAAAACCTTATTGTAGGTATAATGTGAACTACAATCATAAATTTACCTTAAAAAAACTTATTTTTTATTGGGACTTACACCACAGGGAGATATGGCCAAACTTCTGGCAATGATAACACCTTTAAGGAGATGTAACGTAAGGGTGGATTTTCAATTTGTAGAACGCTGCTCTTATTTCTACTGGGCACCTTGGCATGTCAAAGGCTGAAGGGACAATTTGTCCGTTCCGGCATGTATTCATCCTCCTCACCAACAACACACCCTGGTTCTTTTATGCTTTTGTGTAGAAGGAAAGGGCACAAGAATTTGAAATTTCCCTCTTTCCTTTCTATGTGACATTTGGCATATCTCTGCGAGAAGAGTAATCCCCATGATCCCAAGACCTAACAACGTGACCACCACAATTTCTTTTTCTTTTCCTTCCTTTCCTTTTTTTCTTCGTTTGCTCTTTTTCTGTGCCAGTGGCTCAGGAGACATAGGTTTCTCTATTCGCATTACTGTTCCAATTTCTGGGGGTGAGAACTCTTTCCCTTTTCCTCATTACGAGGACAAACCCTTCATCCTCTATCATGGAAGGAGTGGGTGGTTGTGGCAGGGGGTGAAGGGTGTGCACAGGATGGAGGGTACGGGTCTGGGAGGCTGAGAGACATTCTGGATTTCCATAAAGTAAATCCGTAGGGAGGGGAAAGGTGTTGGGAGAGAAGGGGGATTTTTATCTATTAAGATAAGTACGCACTGAGATTCTTTGAACTGATTCACGTTGCGGGGCAGAATTGGGGCTGCGTAGATTCATTGTTGCGATGCAGCCCCGTCTCTGCTCCGCAACAAAGAACCGTGTCCAGACCAAGATTCAGTTCACATTCATCAGTGCCTGCGAAAATGACGGAGGAACTAGCTCTCTCTGGAATAATTTCCTTTGCTCTTTTTTGCATTGTACGTAGTGAATCCAATCGGAGGTGCGTTAAAAAACACCCAAAAAGATGGTGGGTTCAACAAATATTTCACGGCGGGAATCAGCACGGGAAAAATCTTTTGGACATGTTGAGATTAAATGATGGCGCAGGGTTCAGAAATTTTTTGAGGATGTCCCCGACTGATTTCGAAACCATTTTAATGAAATTTGGCACTCAAATTTCCAAGAAAGATACAAACTTTTGGGAATCTATCTCTCCGGCCAACAGATTAGCTGCCACTCCGGTTCCTAGCGAGTGGAGACTCGTATACAAGCCTCATGTATTCAATTATTGTATTCACCTTCAGGATTTCAAAACAAAAAGAACTGTCCTTTTAAAATGTGTATTTTTTTTTTCAATTTCAGCAACGGAAACACTGAATTTTTGGGCTAAACCATTCAATGTTTGGCTTTTCAATTCCCGATTTCTTTATTCTGTGAATGATACATCCCACAAACACCGATGGGAATGCATGTCTTCGATAAACTGTAATGTCAATTTGGTACTCCACAACATACCTTTATACAAGACACTGTCAAAATCTTCAAGAAAACACTCACTACAACGTCAACTAAACAAATAAAGCAAGAGCGCTTGTTCCGTATCACGTCCGCAGTGGCAAATGTTGCGCAACATTGAGTCAAAGAATCCCACATTGGACGGGATTCAAAAGAGTCCGAAAATGCTAGCCAGCAACACACCAGATTCATCACAACAATGAGTCGGGGCAGCCCGGACTCAGGATAGACGCAGCCGAGACTCTCTGGAGATTCAAAGAGTCCACTCAAAGAATTCCAGTGCGTACTAGGCCTTATTATTACAGTTGTGTAATTTTAGAGTAAAATGCAATTCCTGTAAAATTTTGTCAATCTCCTGCCACCTTCTTGTAAATAGGAAAAAAAGTTTCATGCCAAACTGCAGGTGTTCCTAAAATGAAATATCACATGGCCAATCTCCCACAGCTAATGCGTTAAAAATAAAAGAATTTGATAGGGCCATCTTGGATAAGGGCAAAATGTTTAATTTAATTTTATTCAAATTCTTTCTGTAACTTCTGATAAAATTTCACTAGCTTCAGTGTGTTTCACACCAGTTCAAATAACAGCTCAAACATCCACTTTAGATGGTGAAATATTGTTTAATTGATAAAGAAAGGCTAGGCAATCAGCATGATAAGAGTAATCAGTATGATCAAACATGTTCATCAACTCGCAGAGTAATGAAGAAGAATTAACTATTTGAAGTGGTATGAAATATCATTATTACTTATTAAATTCACTAATTTCGTGGTCCGCTTGACCAATTAATACATTACAATTAATTAAGGTTTTTAGTTGAAATGAAAAATGGCAAAAAGGAGGGAAAATTCAAAAGGTGCGGTTGAGATGGGAAGTTGGTGTCCGAGTGGATCGAGGTCACGATAGCTCAAGTGGTAGAGCAGCGGCGTATCAAGCCGAAGATCATGGGTTCGAATCCCGCTCGTGCCATTGACTTTTTTTATCTCAACTAAAAACCTTAATTAATTGTAATATATTAATTGATCAAGCGGACCACGAAATTAGTGAATTTAATGATTGAAATGAAGTACACTTCACTAAAGCTCTCTGTGGCCATTTCATTTGTCGTCGAGAATCCAATCCGATTACACGACATTTGAAAAATGGTAAAAATGAGGGAAAACTCATAAGGTGGGGTTGAGATAGGAAGTTGATGTCCGAGTGGATCGAGGTCACGATAGCTCAAGTGATAGAGCAGCGGCGTATCTAGCCGAAGATCGTGGGTTCGAATCCTGCTCGTGCCATTAACTTTTTTTCATCTCAACTAAAAACCTTAATTAATTGTAATTATTACTTATTATTATGATTTAAATTGATTTATAATTTTTATGTAAAGTTTGGTTAAATCATAACTTAATAGGACCAACTAAAAACATGTATTATTATAATTATTTAATTTAAACAAACATGTAATAACTTTAAGCAATTATTAAAGACAAAAAATATTGCAGCTTGTAGAAGGGAACTGGAGGTAATTTTTAATAAATGGTGAAATAAGAGTTTGATGTTTTTCATTACCTGCTGTCCCTTTCCAGAATGCTCTTGCGCCTTCTTCTGCGTAAATTTTACGAGCAGCATCAAGTAGTCCAGAATAAGTAGTCTGCCCTTGCCTAGCAATGACCTGAAAGCCGAGAGCCCGATTAGGATCGCGTATTGAAAAACTTTTGAATTACCGCATTACCTGCAACCTCGTCTTGATCACGTCAGCAGGAGTGACCAAAGATGAAGCTGGAATACCGGCTATGATACCAGACAAAAACAGAGTGAGCGGACTATTATAGCCGTTCTCGTCTGCTAGTGATGCCTTCGTGTGTGCATACACGGGAAAATATATGGAAGAGAATGGTATGTCACGCAGAAGGCAAGCCCTTGCGCCCTAAAAAAATGAAACATATAATACAAATACAACAAAATATTGAAGATTCTTACTTTGTAAAGTCCAAACAAGCCGAGATTTTTTATCACAGACAGAGCTCTTACTTTCTCACCAGTTGCAATTTCGCCAGCAACTTGCAATCTAATTTTAACAATTTCTAACGGATTTGTGAATATCACTTGAGAACCTCCCGCCTATTATAACAAAAAACAAAAATCTGTATTTTTTATTGTCAAATTTTAAAAATTAAATTCAGCCAAATGATACTTACACAAGCGCCAGCCAGTACTTCGCAATACCATTTGATATTACCACTCGAGTCCATTAATTTGTCACGGACAAAATCGTTAACTGTTAGCTTGATCGCTTTCTCTGGCGCAACACCGGTAAGCTGTGGAAGGAGGCCTCTGTAGAGTCCAAGCGGGCCTTCGTGCCGAACAACCTTCTTGAAACAGTCCCAACTGTTCCTGTACATTACTTCACCAATAAACGAGCCTGTTCTCTGATTCTGCATTCGCGTTTTAACAAGATCAATCGGATATACAGCAGTGGCACCAACAGCTAAATAATTAATCATTTAATAATTTATCGTTTAACTATCTATTTTTCTTCTTACCCCCTGCGACTGCACCAAGTGTAAATCGGTATGTGCTTTCCAACACTTGAATGAAAAATCCTCTATCTTCCGGGCCCTATCAAGAATATACCCAAATAAGTAAATTGCGTATAAAATATTTTAAAATAAAATTAACGTACTGAAACAGCATGGATTTCTGCTAGTCTGTTATTTAACTGTCTGTAGTACTGTTCAGGTGCTATCGATTGTAAATCATTGTAAACTATTCGCCTAAAAGATAAATTACAATTGAAAAATGACCACAAAAACGGAAATAATTTTATTTAAAGGAGTTTTCAAATAAGTAAGTATATAACAGGATAATGCTACCCACCCTAAATAAATGGGATGATCATCCCACGTTCTGTCCAATTTAAAAGCAGTAAACAAATTTCCAATAAGCAAAACAGCTTTTATATTAAAAAATAAAAAAATAAATCAAATAAAATTAAAAATTAAAAAAACAACATACTAACAGTACTTTAAAAATAAAAATTACTAACCCTCTTTGATGGATGAGATGACACAGGTTGAAAAGAATATCCACTTCAAGGGGGGTGATTTGAGACATCATCTGAGCCGAGTATAAAAATTCCTCTGGGAAAAAATCAAATTTGAGTTCCTTTACTAAATTTTAATTTTAATGTATAATTCAGTTATTTGAGTCTTGTTAGAGGTAAGCCATTCAAAATAATAAAAGGGTTGGGATTAAATGTTCAATGTAAAAGTTTTTTTTTTCATATAAAAAATATTTAACCCACCTTTTGTCAATTCTTGCGTACGACTTCCGTTTGTTGCATTCAAATAGATTCTTTTAACCAATTCCATGTTACTGAGGAGGGAGTTAAAGGCCATGAAGTACGGAAAACTCACTCGGTGACCACCATGTTCTCCTGCTGCCTAAATAAAACAATTTAACACATTGAGGAAACTGAATAAAAACAATACATACTGGGGCAAACTACAATGAATACTCTACACATCAACATTTATGTCCATGTAATTTTTTACACACATAAAGTTAAAATTGATCGATTACACATGCTTCGTTCGATTTTGTAACAATAATTTATACATTAAAAAAGGAAATTAGAACAAAAATGTTCTTGAAATTGTCAGATGATATGATATTTAAATAGCGGGCATTAATAACATTCAATCCTAATTAAATTTAGTACTTGAATTACGAAATGAAATTCCAACCTGAACAAACATGCATGTACAAAAATATGACGGTGAAAAGTTTAAATTTACATGTTTAGTATTAGCCCACAACAAATTTAAATTAATAAATTTAAATTACTATTAAAAAAAAGTACAAAGTTTAAAGAAAGCTTGTTGCATCAACTAAAAAGAAAAAAAGTTTCTAATAAAATATTTATGGGCAGCTTTTAACCTTGACTGTGGATGTCATACGCATGATACGTCCACTTGTGACTTCATCTGGCAAACGGTCATACATGTGTCTTACTTCTAACTTCTAAATCGAGTCGGAATGATTGACACCTCACTCTGGCAAGTACTCCATTTTTAGATACATTTGTAACTTCTGTTTTTGTTTGGGTTGACACTGAATTTTTAAAATGAAACTACAATTTCAATTTTTTTTTTTTTTTTAATCAGCGTTCATTGATAACTCATACTGATCACTGAATAATGTCTCATGACATTCAAATAAATATGTTCCAATTATTTCTTTCTATTAACTTCAAGTTTTAGAAAGTGCCTGTTATTTTGATAAATTTGTATTAATTGTATATATAAATTAATAATTACAATTAATTGAGGTTTTTAGTTGAGATAAAAAAGTCATTGGCACGAGTGAGATACGAACTCACGATCTTCGGCTAGATACGCCACCGCTCTACCACTTGAGCATCGTGACATCCTGCTCGTGCCAATGACTTTTTTATCTCAACTAAAAACCTTAATTAATTGTAATATATTAATTGGTAAAGCGGACCACGAAATTAGTGCATTTAATAAATAGATAATGTTGGTATTTTTTATAGAAATATTTAATATATTGTATTCCTTGGCATAAGCAATGTTGTGGTGTTAGAAACACCCATCATCCTCTTCATAGTAATGTAAAGGAAAATTGTAAAATAAGTTTTTTGTTTTTTTTTAACGAGGGTTTGCAACAGCAGAGGTTATATGAACCCTTGGGGTGCCGGTGTTTTTAAAAAAAAAAGCCACTTGGAGGTATTTCGGGTTCAATGCAGGGCCGCTGGATTCGAAACCGGGACCTTTACCTTACAGTGATGTCAATGCCTAAACCGTTGCAGCCACTGACACCCCCAATAAATCCTTATTCTTTTTGAATAATTCAATTTTATCTCTCGCGTTTTGAAGCATTGTTTATTTAGTAATAATTACTTCACAATATGAAAAGGGTGCTTTAATATTTCAGTTTCATTCAAGGTCTCATATTTTTATTTATTTTTGTTAATAAAAAATGAAACAAAAAATCATGCATTTTTGTCATTTAATTTTTTTTTTTTGTGCAATGGAAAATTGCAGCTGTAAGTGGTTTGCTTGGTTTAAAAGTTTATTCTATTGTAAAGATACAAAGCGCTTTTGTCGTCTAATTGTTAAATTATCAAATTCAAAGTTTGAAACTTAACATATTTCAAGTGTTTCAACACATCTGAGAACAGCTGGATATTTTTTTTTGTCTGAGCGATATATGGGTTGTCCCAATAAGTTGTTAAACCTCAAAGATACACATGGGAGAGTGTTATCAACGATCCTCTTGTGCATCTGCCTATAGAAATAGACAGAGTTGTTTTATATAGCACACCGTACAAACAATTATATGAAAAATGCTCCCCTGGAAAGGGCTTAAAATACTAAACTGTGCAAATGACCAACTAGATGTATTTACCAGTCACAAAACTGTTATAAAAAGAATTATGTCAATTCTAAACCACTGATGGAAATCATGTATATATTCAGGTCTGATTATTACTATACTATTCATAATGAATTTGTTATATTTGTAAATGCCTCTATTGTGAGGTTTGTAATGTATGCATACTGTGTAAATGGAAATATTTGCCGTAAATAAAGATAAAGATCTCAATCTATGATTTTCTCCTAAAATACAATCTAAACGATCCATTTTTGACAAGGTTGATAAATGCCTGAAAATGTTCAGAGAGGAAAGTCCTGGGGAAAAAACAGTGATTCACTGTTAACACTCCAAAAGCCACATTATATCTCATGTGTATTTAGTGAAATTGGAAGGGGATTCTTTACTATGAGCTTCTTCTGCCAATCATTAATTCTAGTGTATACTGCACACATTCGGAACGAATAAAATAAAAAATTAACCAATAATGATGGTATTGACTTATCAAAAAGAGGATTGTCGATAATGCTCTCCCTTAAGTTTTTTTACAGGGACTTAAATTAATTGTTAGAGCTTGGCTGAGATGTTCTACCCCACCCACCTGTATCTGCCTGATATTGCCCTTTCAGACATACACTTATTGCATTATGCAAAATTATATTAATGGGAAACACTTTACTTCAATTGAGGACACAGAAAACCTGAGAACTTCTGGGAGGACAGAATTACAAAATTAATGGGAGATGGCAACAGGTAATGGAACAAACAGTTCATGTATTGTTGAGAAGTACCTAAAATTTTCATTGAATTTATCATAAAAAAATAAAAAATCTACAGATTTATGTATGACCTGATATATTCATACTCTTACCTAATACTATAAATTTAATTATTAATATGGACAAAAAAAATTTCCTCTCAAACCTAAAAAAAGAAAGTCAATCTGTGTTTTACAGTTTTACATAAATATTCACGAATGGTCTTGATCTCAGCATGGTCAGTATGAAAAAACAAATTCAAATGTTATTTGCCAAGCATTCGTCATATTTTAAAGTCCATCGGGGAAAAACAATCTTAAAGATGTCTACAAATTGTAAATACTAAACATAATTATGTCAATTTGTTGAAATCTTTAAGAGTGTTTTGCACAGATGATGACCTTAAAATAGGTCAAAAGCTTGGCAGATAACAATTGAATTTTTTTCCACTCAGACAAACAGAATTTGCATGAGTTTACTGATTGCAACCCTCACTGGAGAAATTCTGAATGACAAGAGATTAAAGTAGTTATAAAAGATATTGATTTTTTTAAATTATATATTTTTATCAAAATGGATATATGGATCAAAATGGAAGTAGAAAGTAAAAAAATGTGTTTTTACCTAGTGCAACCGCACCCCATATTAAGTGAAGAAATCAATGTGTTAATTAAGTTTACTCAAGAAAGAAATTATCGATAAACTTCAGCGTCTTTAAAATCTCATAAACAGCATTAAACTAAAGGATGTTAATAAAACGAACAGTTAAATTAGATATTAGAAATTAAAATGAACAATTGGCCTATATTACTTGTCTACATTGAAAAAATTCAATTACTTATAGGTACATATATGAAAATTTGTTCTTAAAAATTGATGTATAAAGTCTTCTTTTTCAATTTCACAACCTAAATTGACAATTACAAAATTAATCCAATCAATTCTTTCACCTATGTTTTAAAATAGTATTGTTTGATTTGAATTTTAATGAAGTTATTGCAATTATTTTGAAATTCAAGGGGAATTTTAGATCGACTTAAAAGCAAGGTTTTAATTTTTGAGAATTAATCTTGACTGACAATCAATGAGAAAGAAGATGAAGCCATTTATGAGAAAATAAAGATTCAGTTTTAAATATTTTTATACCAAAAAAAGTGATAAAAACTGTTAATACTTTCACTAATTTTGAAAAATGGCAAAAAGGAGGGAAAATTCAAAAGGTGGGGTTAAGATGGGAAGTTAGTGTCCGAGTGGATCGAGGTCACGATAGCTCAAGTGGTAGAGCAGCGGCGTATCAAGCCGAAGATCGTGGGTTCGAATCCCGCTCGTGCCATTGACTTTTTTATCTCAACTAAAAACCTTAATTAATTGTTAATACTATTCTTTTCATGGGACGAAAAAATTAATGTGAATACAATTATTTAAAAAAAACTATTAAAAAAAAAAAAAACTGAATTAATCAATGGCTATACACACAGCAACTAAATTGTCCTGAACTTGCTTGGTGAGTAGGTGGTTCTTTATGTTGATCATAATATCTTGGAAGTCGAGGGCCGATATAAAGCCACAACCCTCTTTATCACATTTTTGAAATGCCTGGGTACCGCATTCTTCATGGAAGTCCTGAAAACAAGTATACATAAAACATTTAAATGCAAAACTTTAGAAAAAAACTCAAAGAAATTTAAAATGGTTCTACTATTATATTATAACTAAGTTAAAATGTCTAAAAACACATGAGATGCTCGGTGCATTTAAATGTGCATTTGTCTAATTAGAAGGGCATGTTACAGAGCCCTTGGGATATTTACGTTTAGAAGAGGCCATGGCTGAATTTCTTTATTTAAACTTTGCTCACCAAAATCAGGTCGATTTTGTAAAAAATTAACAATTGTTTTAATGGCTTAAATCTATTAATTAGATATATTTTTTTGACACTTATTATTGTTTTAGAAAGTGCAATACATCTTGATAAAATTGTGGTTTCATGTAATCATGCTATTTTCAAATTTTAATTTAAACATTATTTTTGTTTATATTTAATACACTTTTGACTTGAGTAATGATTGTTTCAGGATAAAAATAATCGCAATTTTTCTCCAGATTCTAAAGTACACAATGGAGAGAGAAACAGTAATAAAAATAAACACCGGTGTCAAACAAAGGTTGAGTTATTGAATGAAAAATTTATTTATATCCACACTAGGCACGAGGTTGGTATGAATTAAAACTATAATCGTCTAGTGCCCTTGGTGCCGGGGGGTTGAACCAGCCTGAAGTTAAACAAATTTGCAATAAACAAATAAAAAATTTAAAAAAATCACCAGTAGGATTATATTTATGGACTGTGGAAATTTTGTTTCCTGTGTTTATCTTCAAACAAAACTAAAAACAGGAGTGAAGAATTCAAAGAGAATATTACCTATTAACTAAGATGTTAAAGAGAGTATTAACTAAAAGATTAAATTAAAATAAGAAGAAAGAAAGGGGGGGGGCAAAAAGGAAAAAATTAAAGTAAATTTGTGAATACGAAAAATTGTGTCCTCTTATAGTTGTCTTGTAAACTAAATTAGAAAATGAAAATTTGGAGGATTTTTAAATTTTCACTTTATATTCTAATTTTAACCAACAAAGAAAGAAAAAATACCAGGGAGTTTGAGAGTCTATTTTAATGTTAAGCCAGCAACAGTACACATTTAAATTGGATATTAAAATCTTAAAATAAACTTTACCTTTCATTATCGCAATGATTATACCAAAGGTTTAAACGCAAATAGTTTCTTTTACAATTTGAGAATAACTCAAAGAGTAATAAAAAGAAACCATCTATTTTAGAAGCCTATATTATGTTATACCGAAATAGAATAGATAATTGTTTAACGTTGCATAAAATTTGCAAGCTTGCTGGTAATGTATCTTCATAAATAATTTGATTTTCACGATTTAACCAAGTCGAGCTGTAGACTCGGACTGGCTTGCAGCCGGGCCGTTCGATTTATTTTAACCCCCCTCCATATCTATACTTTTTGGCACTTGACTTACTATACAAGATCAGTGGGCCTGAAGGACAAAACGCACATTTTTATACATTGTTCTTAGTATCGTGAATTTTAATTATTTTTGTTTACTTACATGTAAAAACTGGCTGAACTCAGAGTAGTTGATGACGCGTTTCTTCTCTTTTCCAAAATACAACTTCATAAATGTATTGTCCATATCAAAAGACAATCTCTGGTTTAATTCAGTGTTAGAGATGACCTCACAGAATTCATCTAAAATTCAATTTTTTTTCATTTTAGTTCGACTTAAAACTCAGCACCGCTTGACAGTTCTAACAGTTACCACAAATTCACACTATGCTTTTTCATTTTCCCTTCATAATTGTCAACGGGCAATCCTGAGTTTCCTTACTGTTTTTTCATTGCAGATGAAAAACGTTTTTTTGAAAAGGGAAAAATCCCTTCGCATATACCCATTTCACCTGTTTACAAACCATCGATTTGTTTAAAGGGCAAAGGTATTTCTTGCGAACGACTGAATGCACTTCTCAAACTAACCGGAGCGACCCAAGCTATGTTACGTATAAAAGCAAAGTTATGAAAAAATTTATTGAAAAGTTAAACTACATAAAATAACAAAGCTATAAACAAAATAACCTTTCATCATACCACAGATGAAAAAAGGAAAAATTACCAGGTGAGAATTGATTTTATTAATTACAATAAAATGTTTATCGGCAATAACATTTTTTGGCGGAAAAATCAATCCACAAAATACTAATAATGAAAAAAAAGAGTCAAGTTTATATCTTACAATGCAAAGAAATATTTTAAATGGTTCAAAAACATTAAATAGTTTTTATATTTCATATTTTTATGTTTTTCTTTGTGTTGCTATTTTTTTAAACTAAGATTAATTTTTTTCTTTTGATCACTATATAAAATTAACATTGGAAATGCTAAAAATAGTTAAAATAATAGGTAAATAAAATATTAATGCTCTATTGTTGACAAGATTGCAATTTTATGTGACAAGCATGCCGTTGTTTATTTCTGACAGAACTGACGAAAAAAACTTACTGAAGGAGATCATCCCTTTTCCGGTAGTGTCAAACAGCTGAAATGCAGTCCTGTAGAGCGCATCAGGGACACACAGGAGGCCTTCAAAGGCTTGAAACTCTGCAAACGATATGAGCCTGGAAATTACGTTAAATTGTTAAACATATGTTAACATCGTCGAGAATACAATCTTGTACCCATCCTTGCTCGTGTCGACGATTCCAGCAAGCAATTTGAGAGACTGTTCATTGTAATTTTCATGAGAAAGGAGACCTAAGAATCCTCGGATGAAATCACTACTGCTCATATACAACTCTCCATTTTTTTTAACATGTGCATGCTGAAAAATTATTTATTAAATATTATTATAACCTATATTATAAAAACACACAGTTTTTAAACAATTATCTTACTTTGTTAAATATTTCTTGAAGTTTCACAGTGCTAGCACGCTTCGGATAGCCACTAGGACCCTGTAAAGTAATTTTCATTTGTTATTTTGTATTATATGGTAAATAATTATATAATGTTATTACTACTTAAATTAAAAAATGATAAATTACAATATTACTTGCTTATTAAAAAATAATTATCATAAAATGGAAGGTAATGAAAGAAACATCCCAGCCTCGAGACCTAACCACCACCATCCGACTCATTAATGCTAAAATTGATTAAAAGGAAACAGAAGCATCAGTGGGCTGGATCGGCAGAAAAGCTTTCACATCAAGAGCTTTGTAGATAGGTGGCCCTCAAGGATCTAAATCGAAGAAGGTGGGTCATTCTCACCTGACTAAGGATGGTCAATGTGAGGTTGTCACATAAACAATTACTTTTGGGCCTTGGCCCGTGAATGTGTCTGGCATGTAGTTGCTCAATTCCTTGGCTCCATATAGAGAGCTTGTAGGATTGCAGCATGGCAGCGAGTATATGGTTGTATTGTTCTGAGTTTTGGAAGAAACAGGGCTGTTTTATTGGATATAATACTTGACAGATGTTTCATCTTGAATATATTTAGAGTGAATGCATTTATTAGTGTGAATGTGTAGTGTGAGAGAGCTGATGACAGAATATTGACCCTCAATTAGATTATTTTTGTGTGAAGGGTGAGGAAGGAATATACTCAATATATAATATACAAGTACTCCGGCACCCTAATTGAGTGAATGGTATGTAAATTAGAAGGAATGCCTTGAAGAGTGACAGAGAGTGTGAATAAAAGCAAAGTAATTCCTGCCATACAGGCAGGCTTAACGACCAATACAGCGAGGGGTCAAGCCATTTTACAATTCTTCCTTAATATTTATAACTATGTGTGGTGTTTAGTGACAGTTAGCCAATGATTTTTTGGAGATCGTGAGGTGCTATCTGGTGTGATGAAGCCCTGAAGATGGTCTCAATAAAGATCAAAACTTAAATTCACTAATTTCGTGGTCCGCTTGATCAATTAATATATTACAATTAATTAAGGTTTTTAGTTGAGATAAAAAAGTCAATGGCACGAGCAGGATTCGAACCCACGATCTTCAGCTTGATACACCGCTGCTCTACCACTCGAGCTATCGTGACCTCGATCCACTCGGACACCAACTGCCCATCTCAACCGCACCTTTTGAATTTTCCCTCCTTTTTGCCATTTTTCATCTCAACTAAAAACCTTAATTAATTGTAATATATTAATTGGTCAAGCAGACCACGAAATTAGTGAATTTAATGATTAAAAATGACGTATACTTCACTAAAGCTCTCCGTGGCCATTTCATTTGTCGTCGAGAATCCAACCCGATTACACGACATTTGAAAAATGGCAAAAAGGAAGGAAAATTCAAAAGGTGCGGTTGAGATGGGAAGTTGGTGTCCGAGTGGATCGAGGTCACGATAGCTCGAGTGGTAGAGCAGCGGCGTATCAACCTGAAGATCGTGGGTTCAAATCCCGCTTGTGCCATTGACTTTTTTATCTCAACTAAAAACCTTAATTAATTGAAAGATCAAAACGTTGGCACGATAAAGAACATGTTTTGCTAAAACCCTACATACTCTCCCTACATACCTCACGATCTCCAAATAATAATTAATAACAAGGAAAAATCCGTGTGTACTGCCAAGATTCGAACCCAGGACTGCTAATGTGACAAATACAAATTGAACACCTTAACCACTAGGCCATGGCAGTCCCAAGAGTGTGAATGGTTTAGGTTTAAAAACTGAATTCCATGGGGCTGAAATATAGCTGTTAAGCAACTTCAACTTCTGCGGTGAGACATAAGATTAAGGTCTGACCTAAGACTGACAAAACCAAGGTAGGTGCTTCTCACGATTTGCTGCAAGATGTCTTAAGTTCGATTCTGTACACATGGGCATGTAGGTACAAATATGACCTAAAGTCTAGACTCTACGCTTTTCTTAAGAAGTAGGTGAACATCGTCTTCAATTGTATGATTTGATTAACTATTCACAGTTTAAAATCCAAGAGCAAAGTTAACAATTAAACTCATGATAAATTGTACGATGTACCTATGTTTGAAAATATACCAACTTAAATATGATATCTGCTTGTGAGTAACATGAATATACAATCCATTAAAGACAATGTATATTTAATGACCACCTTAGTATAATTGGTATACATAGATTCTACGAAAAAGCATAGACAAATCATTTACTAACACAGCAGAGCATCTAAAAGAGAAAGGAAGGATTCTGGATGAATATGAAATGCGTGGTATACTTTTACACCAGGGTTTGTAATGCTTGTCTTTTGTCTAATGCAAGAATATAAACATTTAAAAAAGTTATGTGCAGATAGAAACATGTTGAACTGGCATTGGGACATCTACAGTCATCGGTTTTGTTGTCACTAATACACATTTCAGCTCAGACAGTCCTTCAATGAAGTCGCAAAGTCAAAACACATTGAGTGACATCAAAACCCATGAGTGTAGACAGACCCAGTAAGTGACTCAGTCCCATTTCAACATGTTTTAACCGACTCGCAGATCAAGATGGAATCATGTTAGAAACCATTTATTATCCTCACTTACATATTTAATAATTAAACTTTAGTTAATACATGCTAAAAATGAAACTTTAGATGGCACTTTGATAAGAATTACAGCCTAGCAATAAAATTAATAGAATCAACATGTCTCAAAACAATAAGCAACCGAGGTTTTTTTCTTTCCAATGAAAATGTTACTAAATTATATGTGCTATTGTTGCTAGAATTCTTTAGCTCATATGTTATTCTTTCAATAATTAATTCCCAACTGAAAATGTCATAAAAGTCAGAAATGTTTTTTTTTTTCTTGTAGCATATAAACTGTTTCGTAACATGTTGAACCTGCACTCGATCACCTTCTGGGTCATCAGTACAGATTTCTGGGTCTATGTAGCTACCGAGTGAAGACAGACTCAGTGTTGGTTCAACATGTGCTCTCCGACTCCAGACCGACACCCACCATAAATTCTGTCTCATAATTTGCAAAATGCTAACTCTTTTCCTCTTGTAACTTGACAAATGATAAAATACTTAGCTTATCAATAGTGTCTATTTATTTATTGTATTCTTTACTTAGAGTGATATCGGTTTTTGGTTGGTATTGCTATTACATAATTTTTATCTTTGACTAAACTAAACCCCTCCCTATGAAAGAATGTTTTGTTTTTATAAATAAACAGTTTACTCAAGAAGAATGTGAAAAATATATGTTTAGACTTTGAACACAAGAAAGGATTTAGAAGAAAAAAATACATGATGTAACAATTTGTTAGATAATATTAACGTCACAGCTGAGAAAAATAATGTATAAATTTAAATAAACTTTAAATTATTGTTAAAAGTAAGTGTTTCCACCTATCAAATTGAAATTTTGCTTTTTAACAAAACCAATATTTGTCAAATTGCATGTGTATTTTCTGCTTAAACAATAACATAAGCACAGTTAACGTAAGATCAAATCCAGCTGATAAATGATTTTAAATATGTTTAATTAAATAAGTGATTTTTTTGATGACAGAATTAACACAAAAAAATTTTTGTTTTGCTTTACCTGAGTTATCACACAGTTATTAGTTTAGTTTAAACTATCAAACTAATAAAACAACACTGAATTGAATAAAAATCTATTAATTAAAAACTATAATTCCTTTATAGTATAGTATAGTAAAAACAATATATGAAAGAGTATCATGAAATGCTTAAGTGTAACTCAAGTGTTTTAAAAAAAGGAAAAATATAATTGTTATAAATAAAATCTATTAAAATGAACATACCCCTTTAGTCATTGTGGATTAGCAATAATTGATTAAACAGGTATAAAAACAAATGATTAAATTACTATTACACTTCTTTTGAATCGCGCTGAAATCAGCTTAGGGAAGCTGGCATTTTGAGAACGTTGTACTAACTGAAAAATAAATTAGGTCTATATCAAGTGACCTTACAATAATATTATCTAATCGTTAATAACATCATGACATTAATTCTGATAATAAACGTATGTATATTTATATTAGGTAACCGATATTAATCAACTGCCTGTGACGTAAATGCAAATATAAAATTTACAGATTTTTAACTGATGTAAATGACAGAAAAAATATTTATTTAAAAAAAAAAATTTTTTAAAAAATGGATTCATATTTGAGTAATATATTTATGATTAGTAAATATCGGTTTATGATATATGTAAGAAATAAAATTCTCTTTTATTAAAGTTAAAACTTCGGAATAAGCATTGTTTAGTGTTTACCTCTCTGTCCATCAGCCCCAAGGGTGTAAAAAGCAATGATACACAAAACGGATGTACAAAAACATTTTCTAAATGTCTTAATATTGTTTTCCTCTCTAATAGCAAATAAATTTAATTATAAGAACAAATAGAGGCGAATGTCTCCCATGGATGAAACTATCTGACTGCGGTATATTTAGCTCAAGGCACAACATAGCAGATGTTATTAACGATCCGGAGAATAACTCAAATCGTGCCAAAAATGTGAAGAGAAAAATGTCCAGAGTGGCTGGGAGTTTCTTTATAGCTCAAGAAATAGAAATAAAACAAAAAGTTAATATTATCTTAATAAGATTTTTTTTTTTACAAACAATAATATATAATACTTGCTATGCATTGTAATTAAAATGTACTCATATAAGTGTTTTTCTAATGTAATATTATAAATGTAACTAATACAAATTTAAAAAAACATCAATTAAACATTCTTAAAATTCTCATAAAAGTTAAACTATTAAATATTACTTTACTTTAATAATAAAACTAATTGATCTTACTGTTGGAATAAAAGGCATAATTTTTGCGAAGGAGAAAGATGATGCAGATTTGGGAAAATACGGCCAAGAGTATTGGTTGAGGGTTGTCATCCTCTATCCTTGGCCATTAGATATAATTTATATATAACTTAATTAATTAAGGTTTTTAAATTGAGATAAAAAAGTCAGTGTCATGAGCGGGATTCG